CACAAAAAATTATTTTTAGTGACAATTTTATTAAGACTTACTTTCAATAAGATTTGATGAGAATTGAGTTCAACTATTAAACCCTATTGATATAATTTATTAAGTAAAAAAAATTAAATAAACTAAAAAAAAGTTAATTATTTGAAAAATAGGGGAAAGGTTACTTTTGGTTTTGAATTCGTAATTATTAACTTTTAATTTAGGAGAAGTTGTATTAAACAAACTTTCTATCTTTTTATATTAATACATATATAACTAGGGAGACTAACAGGTAAGTCTTAATAAGTTATATTAATGGTATTTTTCATCAAACATTATTAAAAAAATATCATTAATTGTTAATTTTTAAAGATAGTTTGAAATTGTCACAAAAAAAATGTTACTGATTACAAGTTTTAGCGACAATTTAAAAAAATCGTCACAAAAAAAGTCTCTAATTTTCAACTTTCGGCGACAATTACAAAAATTCGTCACAGAAAATATCACTAATTATAAGTTTTAGCGACAATTTATAATAACCTTGATCAAAAAAAAAGGTCACTTATTGTCAATTTTTAGCGACATATGCAAAAAATCGTTACAAAAAATTATTTTTAGTGACAATTTTATTAAGACTTACTTTCAATAAGATTTGATGAGAATTGAGTTCAACTATTAAACCCTATTGATAATTTATCCATATAACTATTGAGTCATATAAAAATATCAAAGTAGGTGAACTTTGAGTCATAATTTAGAAGTTAAATGTAGCGGTGCAACTTAGGCAGGCTCAATCCGAGCAACCCGAACCCAGCCCGAAATTTTTTAGGGTTTGGACAAGATATTTTCAAATTCGGTACGAGCTTGGGCAAAAATTCAAAGGCCCGAATTAAATTTGGACAGGCTTGGGCAAAGATGTTGAACAACCCGAAACCTGAATTATATATATATAGATATATAAAAATATTAAATATACATATAAATTATTAGTCATTACATAATATTAAAGTAATTTAGATTATTAAATCATATTGAATATATATTATATATACAAATAACATAAAATCATACTCTTTTTTTAATTTATTTTCACTCATAAATTATAATAACTACTATATAGCAGCATCTCTCTTACATTATATAAAATATTTATTTTGATGGTATTAATGATTTTCTATATAAAAAAATATAAATAAAGTCAAATTTTAATAATTTAATAAAGAAGCTACACACACACAAAAATCATTTACAATTCAGGTTTAATTCGGGTCGGGTTTGGACAGACAACCTTGGGTTACAATTCAGGTCTGAACGGGCTTGGACAAGTCTTAGCACAACTTGAATTGGGCTTGAATAACCTCTCAACCTGACCGAACCCGCGCGAATTACACCCCTAGTTAAATGTATATTCAAAATAAAATAATAATAAAAAAAATCTTCAAACACATAAATCAATCACATTCCTCACGGTCTCACTTTTTTATGATTCCACACCATATATAAAAATTGTATCTCATTTCGTAATTTATTTGTAAGAAGATTAAAATTTTGACAACAAAAGATTCCTTTTCTTGTAATAGTACTTTTATAACTATCGAGGAAATAGGTTTTTTTAATAACTTTTTAGTTTTTTTTGACTAAAATATAATGTAAAAAAATTAATATATATAAGATGATTTTTTGATTTTTTACAAAAAGATGTGTAAAAAATAAAGAAAGAATAAAATCTTTGACTTTTTTTTATATAAGTTGTTGATTTTTTGATTTTTTTTAGTTACTTTTTGACTTTTAAGTTAAAAATTGATATTGCCAAACAAGACCTAAGTCAAAGTTGTCAAAATACATGAATTTCACATCACGTTTAAATCATTTTTACCATTTAATAATTGGCTCAAGCTAATCATAATTCTACATTTTGTTGTTAGGATGAAAAAAATATCGAAATATTATGAAAAAAACATCAAAATAGTTTGCATTGCAATACATCGATCTTAATAATCACTTATTAAATTATCATCAGCACTTCCATTAATTACTTAAAGTTTTGGCTGTAACTAAAAAGTCAATTTATTGGCTTAAAATTTCCAGAAACTCATTTTTAGTGAAAAAATATTCACTTTAACCACTCTAAAAAATTGTTAGAATAAGCCAAAAAAAATCTAAAAATGTTAAACAAATTAATTTTTTAAAAACAAACATTAAAACAAAGTACAAAAAGCAGAAGATTCGGTGGTGAGAGAGAGAAGAAAAATATTAAAATAAAAAAAAAAACTTCATTTGTTTGATAAACTCATTTTAAAAGGATTGGTTTGAAAATAAATTATTTTAGTAATTTTTTAATTTTTTTACTAAAATATAAGATGCAAAAAATTAATATATTTTAATTGACTTTTTAATTTTTTTATAAAAAAGGCAAAAAAAAGAGAAGAAAGATAATCTTTGTATTTTTAGGATAATTCTTTGATTTTTTTACTTTTTTAATAGTTTTTTGCATTTTTTTACTAATGTAGGAGGTTTCCAAACCAAAAAAAAAAAAAAAAATCACTTTAATCATTTTAAAAAATTATTAGAATAAATTTATTAAAAAAAAAATTAAATGTGTCGAATAAAATAATTTTTCAATTATTTTAAGTACAGGAAACAGAAGAAGGAGGGGCTGTGGGCAGAATCTGAAATGTCAAATTCATGTCTGTTAAGCATTCATTTTCATGTCTTGTCATTTCATCTCTGTTACCCCTTCCCCTGACACCCCTCCCCCACTAATTTTTGGACTCTCTCTCTCTCTCTCTCACTAGGATGCTTGTTGTCCTTCTTAGGTGTAGTGTACCCAACTCTCCAATCTCAGTAGAGATACCAAGTCAGACCAAGTAAATTTGATCCTGTAATATTTGGTCCACATGGTGTTTTTAGCTGGCAGGCAGCTTAGGGGATAAGTTCTTAAATTGAAGCACTTTTGAGAGAATAATATATTACTATAATCTGAGAACAATGGAACAAACATATGATTGATTCCGATGCTATGGCATCATATTCTGTGGAATGAGATGAGTTTAAACAACTAAAAAATAAAATCTTCAACAAGAATAAGCAGAATCAAATAATCAACAATTTATGTCTGAATCAAGATTCTTGGCAAGAGAGAATACCCATATGTTAACTGTAAAAAATAAAAACCAAAAAAATCCAATGTTCAAGACTCTCATTAAAATAAGCAAATGCAGAGCAAGACCTACGCAAATATTTCTCCCAATTACCTAATTTGTTGTTGTGCCACCAAGATGCTATTAAATCAAGTAGCTCTTTCATTTTCTACTAAAGCTAAATTGTAATAAATCCCACTTGGTTGTTGGTCAAGTGGGATCAACAGTGATCAAGGATTGATCTTGCGAGTGAGTTTCTTATTAACGTAATATTTGAGTTTAAAATCTTATTATGCAATGTAATTTACTCTATTTTCTTACTAACGTAATATTTGAGTTCAAAATCTTAATTATGCAATGTAATTTACTCTATTCTTTTTATCGTCTTCATTCTTTTCTAATAAAGTTCAAAATCTTAATTATGCAATGTAATTTACACTCTTTTTTTTTATGTCTCTCCTATCGATTGTAAATAAGTGGAATGAATATGCAGATTACATTATCAAGCACGTAAAAAATTAGAGGCACCTATATACATGTCAACAGGTATCATCATACTACTTTAAAGTTCAAATCAACTCTTTTTTTTTTTCAAACCCTCAACTCAATAAACCATATACAACACCACTATTAGCTGCATATCAAGTTTGAAGCAAAAAAAAAACTGCCAAACATTAAAGTTACAAGCACAGAAACTGAGGCACAGAAAATAAAATGAGCTTATGTGCCTCAATTTAAGAAAAAATACTCTTGGAGCAATGCTTCATTCCACTTATTGACAGACATCTTTCATATGAGTTAGGTTAAGAACCCCAAATAATCTATCAAATCCATGTGAGAGGTTTGGTAAAAAATTTGATAGATTATTTAGAGTCCATAACATTTTTCCTTTCATATTTTCTCCTAAAATACAAACACAAAAAGTGGTCAGCCCTAGTGTTTTAGACCAATAATTATCAATTTGGAGTATCACTTGGACTTGCTCCAGGAACAGTGAACAACTTTGGATGAATCTGAACCACAGTCCATTTCCTATAAATATAGTTGACCCGGTAGATAAAGCACTCTCTTACCGAGCGTAATGCACAAGTACAATTCATATTGTTGCAAGTGCAATTTCCCTTTCCTTGTTCCCCTCCTACACATTGTAAATACACGCGTGTGTCCTCAGCATTGTTGCATAATGAGCTTATGTTGTGGAACCAATATTAGATTTAACCAATATTTGAAGCCCTAATCAGAGAAAACCCATGGATCCCGAATCTGGTTGCGGCAGTTGTCATTTGGGCCTAATGCCACATAGTTTCTTCTACACATCACAGCCCAACAATAGAAAGCCTGGAGTGCCCTAGATTCAGTTGGCCCAGTAAAGGCCACACTGCTAGAACTTCGATGAATATATGAATGTTTGATTGCTTCCAGACACCCATCAAAATATATACATATATAAGAAAATAAAATAAAGATTGTCTGCTCCAACCCGTCAGGTAGTCCATCAGTCTCCGATACCTATGACTTATGGGTAGTTGTAGTCATCGGGGTTTATCTAGCAATGATTGATCCAAAGGGACTCTACCTTGGAGAGTTCCTCGTCAGTAAGAAAGTAAAAAAAAAAAATGCACCAACCTCACTAATGCATCAAAGCTAACCACATTCTAATCCCATCATAATGCATTGCCTTAGGACCACTTCTTTACAATACTCTCGCTCCTGTATTTTTTGTTTGTTATATGAAATCCTTAAAATTATTATTTCACACTAGTCATAACCATGTAATAATATGATAGAACCATAAGATTAAAATACCTTAAGTTTTCGAATAGGTGACCATTAAGTTGTCCCCCAAAATGGAAAGATGGAAAAATAAATAAATAGATACAATTTGAAATTGAGGGAGTGACAATCAACATTCAATAATTGACAAACTCATTAATCTCTAATGCTATCATTAAAAGGGTTCTATAGTTCATCAAACATGAGTCAGGTTTCTAAGAATTTTGTTCCAAAAAAATAAAAATAAATTTCCTAAGAATGGGGCAACAGCATGAAACACAACTTATTCAGTCATAATCCCACAAATTCATGAAAAAAAAAAAAAAAAGGAAGATGGAATTAAGCATGCTATTGTTGTTACGGTTAAAAGCAAATGGCATCTTTTCCTACTGACCTCAAAGATATCCGACTCTTGTCTGATCCAAAGCTGAACTTAATATTTGACGCATCATCTTGCATCGAGGCATTGCTTGTAGAAGGGAAAAAACGAGGGCCGGGGTAGACCTCTTTGTGCCAAAAGTGTAAGATGGAATTGCTGGCCCGTCCTTCAGTTGAGGCAGCCCACTGGCTGAAGTAGATGGCATGATAGACGGTGTTGGTGGCTCAGAGAGTACACCAGAAGACGCGGAAACAGGGAACGTGAATCCAGAGCCATTATCTGAAAAACCGGTCCGTCTCAGGTTTGGCTTGTCGACAAAAATAGAAGCCAAAATTGGCTTCGTCCCTGTAGGGTGGAATGGAGGCTTTTTTAGTGACTCAGAGCCGGCATAGGTTGGAGCCATATTTGCAATGCCCTGTCCTCTAATTTGAGGCCGAAGCTCGTTCAAGCCTTTCTGTCTGCTGTCAGGGAACCCCAGGGAAGCCGTCTGCAATAAAACCATACTAGTCGTAAGTTCGTGTGGTTCAAATCACGTACTTGCAAATTATATTATGACCCGCTGATATTTTGAAGAGAGAGGGCAGAAAGAAAAGATCCAAGAATAGATAAGACCATATCAATTGGACAAACTAAGTATTGTACTGACTGTGACTTAGGCAAGACTTTTTTTTTTTTTTTTTTTGATAAATGTTATTTAGGCAAGACTATTGAGGGACTGACTTCAAAATGGGTGATGTGTCCGTGTCAGACACGTATGGAACACCAACATGTCAGGAACAAGCGTGTCCACGTGTCAGACGCTACATGTGGCGTGTTTTTTATTTTTTTACTGGACACTTCACGTACAAGCATCCTGTGTTGAGACACGCCAGAGGACATTGTTTTGAGTTTCATTTTTATAATTTAGAAAGATAATTTGGGATCAAAGTAAAATAAATGAAAACGAAGAGAAAAGAAAATGAAAAAATATAATAAACCCACATACACATTGATGCCTCTAATATCTTTGTGCCTTAAAATTATATTCATGTACACACCAAATAAAAATATATTAAAAAAAGTTTCTTTTGCCGTATCCCCGCCATGTCCACATACTGATTTTTTTCAAAATAGCCATGTCCCATGTCTGTGTCCGTACTTCCTAAAGGCATATAATGTTTTTAACATTATAAAAAGCGAAAGTTTATTCAGCATGAATTATTTCTCCAATAGTTACATCAGCCAGCCACAATTCTGATTGAATAGGATCTCTCAACAATGTAGCACACGTCAATTCTTTCATTACAAACACAAATAACAAGCAAATGAACATGAATACAGAAAGGCACATCTTGTGCCAAATATGCAATTTGAGTGAGTCGGTAAAACATAGATGTAAGCCTTGACCATGTTTTGAGCTTATCAAAAATAGCATTGATAACTCTTACATTCAAAAACTACAATAAAAAATAACAGAAAGAACAAAAATACAAGAAAAAAAGACAAGCGTGTATGTTCTGTGGTATAAGTAAATCGTCACCAACACTACAACAGTAAAGCCCGAGTGCTCATTCCTAAAGCAATGAACAAGATAAATACTACAAAGAAAAGCAAATCATAGAGACTACGAAGAAAACCAATTGGGTGAATAAAAATAACAGCACTAGCAGCTTTATTATTTTTATTATATTTTAACTAACACTTTAATGCTCAATTTGGATGATTGGAATGAGATGGAATGATTGTAGCACTCCAAAAAATTTATTTTTCTCTCATCGCTCAAGCGATAGAATGATCATTCAAGCAGTCTTGTGAAGCTTCTAGTACTTTTGCAGGTCTAAGATTCTGAGAGCTATTGATGTTCGCTCGAGCGCAAGGTTGGTCGCTAGAGCGGTATTGTGTCTCTGACGCGTGAGTGCAGAAGTAGCCGCTTGAGTAATCTGTTCAGGATCAGCAGCTTTTAAATGGTCCACTTTTCTTCATTCTTTCATATTCTTTCTCTCTCCTCTTCCTCCATTCCACCATTTTTAAGGGTTTCCAGACTGCAAACTTGATTTTCATCCCTTTCTACTCATTTCCTACCCCATGTTCCTTATATAAAAACGAAGAGCACGCAGAGGGCTTTCTATCCATCTGAGCGGATCGCGTTTTCATCGAAATTGGAATTTTGAGTTTCTTTTCTTCATGTAGGGATTTATTTACTTCTTTATAATATTTTCTTATAGATAGATAGGTGATAATTTGTGTAAAAACCTCTTGTTGAGGATATTTTCTTAAAGGCATGAAAAGAAAGTTAGGGTTTTCAAAATAAGGGAGTTAAATGTAAGATTGAGTTGGATTAAGGAAGTTTTAAGTAGTTAGAACATGATTTTGTGCCTCAAAGTAAAAAGTCCTAAATTTTGTTTAACCCTAGATATGGACTTATTTTTAAAATGAGTATTTATTTCAATTGACTTTAAATTCTTGAAATTCAGTGTATGATTGGATAAGATGAGTATAAATAATGAGACTTAATTGTTGTGGAAATAATATTAGTATATGAGGGTTATGTTTGGGAAATTGATTATTGAAAATTGAATTAATAAAGTTTTTGGAAGTACATGATACCAATTGTGTTATATAATTGAATGTAAAGAGTTGATGTTAATGTGGAAAAGTAAAGAATGAAATGGAAAACAAATTGTAATTGTTTCTAAAGATAAATCTTTATGCTTATGGTGGATGTGTTGTTGGATTAATGTGTAATGGAAATAATGAATGATGTTGTTAGTTTTGTCTACGAGTTGTAATAATGAATAACATGATGATATTAGACTAAGGGTCCGTTTCCTTCTGGCTTGTGACCAGTAAAGCATGGCACTTAACAGAGGTTTCGCATTCCTTACAGAGGTTTCGCATTCCTTCCAGAGTAGCCACCAAAAAAGCGTGTGGTCTGTTGAAATATATGGAGATTCCGCGTTCATTCCGACTTGTGACCGGTAAAGCGTAGCGCTTGATAGAGGTTCTGCATTCCTTCCGGAGTAGTGCCCGGAAAAGCGTGTGATTCGTTGATATGGCTAGTAATGGAGCCGGTTGTTGATTGTGAACTTGTGCTAGATAATTATAGGGGGATTTGTATGTGTTTGGTGATAATTAGAAATGGAGAATTGAATTTTTGTAAGTTTGAGAAGGTGGAAATGAATTGATTTGTTTTATATGGATTAGTTATTTAATATGTGTTGAAATGAGTGTAGATATATGTATATATTGAAGTTACGCGGAATATGGTGGGGTGATGACCAGTTAGTGGGTCGTACGATTATTAATACTGCATGGTTCCTAGACCTAAGATCTTTATGTAACGTTAAAAAGGGATTTTTCAGAAAGACTATTCAAAATTTATACAAGAATTAAGTTTTTCTTTGAAAAGTTAGCAAATTTTCATGAGAAATGTATTACCTGTGTATTTTATTTTTGAGGATAGGAAGGCACATTAATTATTTATGTATCATCCTTCAGCATTCATGATCGCATACATCTATTGACTTTATTGTTGAGAATCATTGTAGATCCCTACTAGACATATTTGTTCATCTCACGTTATTTATACCATTTCAGGAACGGAGTCGGAAACGCCAGTTTTAAAATTTAAGAAGCCTATTTTTCTTTTATAAGTATTTGTCATATAAAGTGTGAATGAAAGATGTGTTGTAATTTGGGATTGATGAGCATTTTCTCCTATAATTAATTTACATGAATATTTCAACGTAAGCTTTGGGCATGTACTATTGTTGTAATTATTCGAGAGAGAACATTTTCTAGTTACTCAAGTGTAATGATTATTCCTATATACGCTATGTAATTGGACTTAAATTAAAAGTTTTGGTAATGTATCCGAATAATAAAATTTGGTATATGACAATGATGATTCCTTAGGCTTTCATATGGAATGACCATTCCCTTCAAATGATGAAAGATGATTCTTTTTGTAATGCATTTACCATTATTTTTTTTTTTTCGAACCAAACATGGGAATGGACATTTTGATGGAATAATCATTCCATTCCACTTCATTCCAATAAACCAAATGTTATCTAAGTTTGTAGTGTATAATAGAGATCTTAAATGATCATGATGAAAACAAAAAAAAAAAATCAAATACAAGCAATACATTGGGCAAACAAAATTTCAAATTTCCTTAAGACATTTAAAACAACAAAAGGTATCAACAACTGTCCAATTTGCAAATCAATCAAAATAAGAACAGATAAATGTGAATAGAAACTGTATAAGCTCATAACCAATCACAGTCAATGACAAACAGATAAATGTAAATTTTAGGCATTGTCAAGCCTACAACAACAAAAAATAGCAATAGCCTACAGTATATTTTCATTCTATCAATTATAATTGGGATTTCGTGAAGGTGAGGCTCGATGCACGACATGACAATATGCATATGAGTGAAACACAGAGCAGTCCAATGCTGTTATCAATATGCATGGACCAACTTAGTGGTCGTAGTAACACATGCCAATCATTTATCGTGTCCACATTGATTAATCACCCAATAGTAAAGGACAAGAATGATTCACTTTCATCAAAACAGATGCATTAAGAGATGTATGAAGTACCTCAAGTGTGCCCTTGATTTGAGAATCATGAGTTTCGTTGACAGAACTTAAAGCTTCGATACCTTTATTCACAACATCAGTAGCTTCACTAGTACTTCTCTCCTGAGGTTTTACTTGATAGTTTGAGTTGCCTCTATTTCTTTCTTGAGCAGAAGATTCCTTGTTGACAAGACTTGTGTTCTTATGAAAATTAAACCCTTCAAAATGTGGCAAGCTGGTACGTTCTTTAGGCATTGCATTAGCTACTTCCGAAGACGGAGATTTCTTGCATGCAGTCGCTAGCTGCAACTCAGCTGACTTCTCTCTAGGTGTGGGTGTGTTTCTATCAAGGTGCTCCAATATTGCTCTAACAGCAGGATTCGTTGTCTGAAGAGTTGGGATTCCGACTTCGGAATTGTTTTTCATGTTGTCTACGGACTGGAACTCTGTAGTGGTGCTTGTTCCTGCTTCCAAATTCCTCTTTATAGAAGGCAAGAATCCTTTAGAAGCACTGGAATTTTCCGCATGTGGAGGACCGTTTTGAGATAAACGAAAAGACACAGATCCTCTGGGTGGAGCTTCTGACGTAAACTTATGCCGTAAACGACGAATGGGTCCCACTGATCCATTCCTGTCATTACGTACTTCATCCTTTGACTTAATAAAGGACAGGCAGTACAACAATCAATTCACAAGTTATAAGGTGCTCACATCAATACAAGATGGATGCTATATTGTAATTTTCTGTCTGGAAATTGTAACCTAATATTCATTATTAGGCATTATATAAAGGAACAGGAACAAACCCAGCAAACCAAGCCTTACCTATAACAGCACACAACTCACAGCACTGTTTATTACTTAAATAACATATCTGTCCAGCTTACAACCAACCAACTGAAGAAATTAGTTTCAAGTGTCCAATTAAAATATTTTTTATACATAGAGAGGATACAAGTAAGTCCTACTTTTTCCGTTTCAAAGGTTATTAAGTCCTATATATAATCATTAAGAAATGAAGTCCTACTTTAATTCTAAAAAGGTTTTACACTTATTATATATCTTATTTGCCCCTCTTTATTTTTAAATTTAATTACAAATCCGCAATCTATATTTTCACTTACACATTTCTTTCTAAGAATAAAACATACAAAACCAATCACCTGAGGCAAAAAAATATAAATAAAATAAAAGGAAATAAACCTGCCTGTATAATCTTGAATAACAAATTGCATAATATATTGGGAAAAAATGCATTAAAAACTTATTAACAAAAGAAACAATAAACTTCGTTTATATAATTAGAATCTTCCAATAGAACTCTCAAAACAGCAGGTACCCTTCTACACTCACACCTAATCTGATCAGGCTCAATAAGCATTAGCAAGAACATTATACTGGAACAACATAATTGGTTGCGTATGCTATTTCGCACTCTGGAAATTTGTTTGCAATTCTGTGTGAATCCCCTAACATGACTTTTTAGCTGCAGCTTCTTCTCAAAAGATTCTCTAGAAGGGTGTCTAACTTCAGACATTGTTGTAGATGTCCTCTGATTGATGATGGCTACATATAATTAATTTTTAATAATTTCTAGAGCTACAGACATTTAAATATGATGTCATTACAAATCTCATCCCATAGCCATCATGCTGGGAACTAATGCAAACAGAAGAGCAATATCAGTGATAAGGTCGATACTGGGGTGAAAAAAAAAAATCAAGTTTTCAGAATTGTCATAGCTTGTGAACTGCCAACTTGAGTTTCTTTTTTATTTAGTAGAGTTCATGTCTACAAAAAGATAGCTGTCATTTACAGAAGGAAAAACTACTCGTGGATGTTACTCACACAATGCCCGTAGGCTTTTAGTGATTCCTAGGTTCAGCTGGTGATAGGAAAGTTCAAGAATACCCTCATGCAAAATATCTTGCACATTGGGTACACACTGGAGATGTTTGTGGTGAAAACAGCAGCAATTTCAGGCCAGCGGTGGCTGCAACAGCAATGCCAATGCCACTAAAGGAGGCCATAAGTTTGCTGGGGTGAGCAGTGAGCTTTGTTATGGCCAAGTTTGAATGCAGATGAGTTCATAAATACACATCAGAAACCACAAGATCTGCTTGCTCACTCTCATCTCTGCCTTTCAATCTCACCTCTTCTAACACTTGGCTTGCCATTAGTTTTTAGAATTAGCATATCAAACAATGAGTGTATAAACTGAATTATTATTATACTCAATTACTAGCATTTTTTGTTTAAATTAAGTAGGTTGTTTCAATTCATCCAGGATTGGAAACTATAGATACCTAAATATAAAGCAAAACCGATTGTCACAATGAAAGAGGGGTCAAGGGTCATCAGATTCAAGTGGTAGGGATACAAAAGCAAGTATTAAAAGTTAAGGCCAAATAAGCAAAAAAGAAGGAACACTAGAAAGGAGATGAATTAGTGTATGGAATTATCAAGGGTATAGTTGTAAATATGCCAAGCAGAAAAAATGGTTGAAAATGCTGCTTTTATAATAATAAAAAGGAGTCAGGAGCAAGCAAATGAAAAAGAAAGGAGAACTTGGAAGTTTCAATTCCTTTCAATGATTTTTCACATAAATATCAGATGGAAAGGAATCATATTATAACCATATCAGATTAACAGGAAAATGTTCCGAAATACAAACTAAATTCGACAAGCTTGATGGCACATCTTAGAAGAAAAACAAATCATAATTATCGTAAATCTTATGAAGACCAAAGTAAGATCCAATCTACCTGTTCATAGAGAGGAGTTTGAGGTTGCTGCCGGGGACTTGACGATATGTACAAGTACCTATTCTTATCAGCTTGCGAATGAGTCAGCTAACAACACGAAAAGAAAAACAAGTATCACCAGCATGCAAAAGGAGATACTTAAAACTACATAAAATTATGTTCATTCATCTCCCTAAAAAATTCAATTCCACATACCTTGGACTTGGACATCGAATATATAGTTCTGGAATATGGAGTTCGTGGAAAGTTATGAAGCCTGTATCTGCTACTGCTATTTATGCTTTGCGGGGTTGAATAACCATGCTGATCTTGTACCATGGCACCTGGCCAACACACAGATGACTTAGCTGAAGGTGATGGAATTAATGGCTCAGATGCAAATCCATCAGCGTGTAGTACATCTCTTTCATCTTTGGATATTATCCTCTTAAAATCAGCACCAACTTCTGATACTCGACTGCCCATATAAGCTCTTGCAATATCAACAGGTGAAGCACCAATTTCTTCTTTGACCTTCAAAATTTCATAATATTTCTAAAAATAGATGTAAAGAAAAGTTTAATGCAAGGAGTAAAAGTTGTTATTCGTTTTCTTAATATTTTGCATCCTATACAATGTTATTAACCGATTCAAATGCGACCACAGCTGTTAATATCAAAATTATAGTTAGATTAGATACTACAGAATTCGTTCCATGAATCACAAAACATTATAAAGTTGTTGACAGGAAAGACAAGTTTGTGGAGTCAACAAGTGATATGGTGAATTGACCTGTTCAATTCTAACAACAGGCAATGAATTATACTCCTTTTTTTGGTATCCTGGGGTACATGACCTCACTGGAAGTAAGACTTATTACCGTTAGATACACATAGGGGTCTGCAGACCATGTCTAACTGGTAAGTCCAGGAAGAAGCTTAACCCAGAAGTCCAGGAAGAAGCTTAACCCAGAACCCCTGGTTAATACAAAGTGTCCCACCAAGTCAAATGACCTGCAGGCTCTTGTGAATGGCTCAAATAATGAATTTTTTGGCCCTTTAAGCATACCAAGGACCTTTTTCCCTCTTTTTTTGGCTAGGAACAAGGACCATTAACATGTAGCTTTTTGCGCCCATGTACTGTGTTCTTCGTTTTAAATTATGATGCAACAAATTATTCCTGTTTTGCATAAAAAGTTTGATAGAAGTTTTACCTAAACGGAGGGGAGTGTGACTTAGGGGGAGGGGGTTTTGAAATTTGTACTTCTTCTTTATTTTTTCCTTGTCCTAATCCAGAGATGTGAAAGCATATATACAGCCAATCCTAAACTTCTACCCACAATGGATTCATATTTTGCATTCATGAATTTAAATCTCTCTTTATATTTGTGCGCTTCTAGTGAAGAATCATAAACATAGTACCTATGGAGCACGGGTACTGGTATCGGTATGACACAAATACGTCGATACGGTAAAATCCAAAAAAAGTAGCATACGGCTTGCTACGTTTGAAAAAATATATTTATTTTTAATTTATAGTGATGCAAAAACTGATTAAATGGTTTAATTTGTTAAGGTCTAACCTACAATTAACATTTAATGCCAAAAGTAAAGGTATAAACCAACATTAAATATCATTATATTAAATAACTTACAAACCATAGCTTAATTTTAAAATCATGCTAAGTATAAAATTAAAAATAGAAAAGAAGTCTAATGAAAGGAATTTGATCTTTGCGGTAGAAAATATTTTTTCGACTGAGCTACGGTACAACTTGGGTATACACTAGGTATGTCTGGGTACACCAAAAATTCAGAAAAAAAAACTTGGATACGTGTTTCGTGTACCCGGTATGTATGCAGAAGTACCATACGCCAATAAGTACTTGGTACCGGGTATGGCATTTTTGTCGAAGTACCCATGCTTAACAGCATAGTACTGAAGAAAGTTCAAAATATTGGATCCAATACAGAAAAGGGTATAAGATACTCTGTATGTACATATTTAGGTATAAGTGTTGTCTATTGTGTGAGTGCAAACAGGTATCTAACATGAATGAACCACGCTGTATGTGAAAGTGTTTAACATACCAACGGTTGATATAAAAAAGCATGATATAATAAGAAAAATGTGTTTAAAGATTTTTTCCACTTTCTAAATGGTTTATTTTTTCTTCTGTAGTCTTTTCTTCCCTTTTTTCAAATGCTGGCAGCAAACCAGACTAGAAGATTGAACAGAATATGTATTAGGAAAATAGTAGGATTTATACTGACAGGAGGTTCATACAGATCATGCCTGCACTATGATTACGTAATTTTGCTATTTTTGAGAATCTTAAGAGCCTGTTTGATATTGTTCTTGAAAACTGTTTTTCATAAAAGAGCGTTTTAAAACTTAAAAATAATAGAGAAAACACATTTGGTAGTTTCATAAAATTGTTTACGACTTAATACACTTTCTGAGTTTTCAGCAAATCAGATCCATTGGAAAAAATGTATATTTACAAACTGGATCATACCATTACATGAACTCCTTCCAACTGTGAAACTATGAGAGAAAAATATGGTGGTTAATAATGTCATTTACCAAGTAGCTTGAATTTAATTTAGATCATTTTTGGCATTTGGACTTCAAAGGAAATGGCAGTAAGTTGTTCTGCTGTGTTCTCCTTAAAGTATTATAAATCCGTAGCTCATATTTGACTACATTTAAAGTTTACCACAAGATTCTTAAAGCAAAGATGAATGCATGATATCCATATGCAGTTCAAAATATATGGATGTCTGAATTAGCATAAAAAAGCTAATTCACCAAGCATATGCAACTGATTCGAGGGCAGGGTGGTCGTGAGAAAATACTCACAGCTGATTGAAGCAAAGGCATTGAGGTTCCCGGTGCAGCTGTATTCAATACATCATGCTTATCTTCAGCAGATGTTCTTGGGTTTTCACGGGCCATTACAGCCTCTTCACCTTCTCTTCTAGTGGCCATGTTTGGTTTCTTGTCCTCTGGATCAACCTTGGAAAGATCAGCCACCCTTGAATTTAATATCTCTGTCAAATGATTGATCTCATCCCTGCAAAGTATTGGCAAGTTTAGATAAGCAAGGTTAAAAAACACAGATACACAGGTGGCTCCATTAGTTAGATATAGATATGTATATATGAAGTGAAAAATAGCAACTTGAGTAAAAAAATAAATTGTCCAAACTTGGCAGATACAACATGCCATAAGTTAACAAACTAATAACAAATCATTCCCTCAGCCATCACAGACATCCACTACAGATTCATGCCGATCTCCAAGGTGTTGGAGCATGTGTGAAGGTAAAATCCCACATCAGATAAAAAGTAAAAGAGATGAGTCTTAATATACATTGGATGGGCTCTCTACGTATAGACTTAAGCTTTTAAGTGGGTATGAGTTCCAAATAATGTATCTTAGGCATTGATATGGTATTTGTGGACTCCAGAGTTTCTCCCCGATGAATTGGGCCGATGTTGCTATGCGCTTGTGGGCTCCCCAATTCCCTAACACGAGGGAAAAATTTTGCTTCATTACAAAAACTATTTATATTTTACACCAACAAAAGGGCACCCAAATGGATTAAAAGCAAGCCCTTTGACCTCCATTGCATCTCCCAAGCTATGCTACCTGGAATGTGGATCGTTCCAATAAGTGGAACGGAAGCGAGAACGCAGTACGCCACATGCTCTAAATTGTGGTATGATAAGGTAGGCAAGCTTGTATAGTTTACACTTGAAGAATTTAAGGTATTTTTTAGTCTATAGAAATTTTTTTAACAATTAAATGTCCAATAAAATGTAGGTATTTTTCCAAATTAATCATAGGGAAACACATTTTTATAAACATTCTGACTCATTTTTATGTGTTGAATATAAAATATAAGAATAGTAGCCCCGGTCTATAGGAGTGGCAAAAACAAGCATGGAAACAGCAGTCACTCAGAAAGATAAGTTGAATGTAAAATGTTAAATTTTCACTCACCCTAGATTTTAGTTTAATATATTTGATTTGTTTTTTTATTCCTAAAAAAACCTTAAGAAAATATATTAAAACAAACTATTGGGAATGCCAAATTTATTTGTTTTGAAACGAATGTGTACTATGTTCGGAACGTGCATTCCAAAACGTAATTCGCTAGTGTGTCAATGTTTTCTGGTAACACTGCTCCGAAACAATACAATTACTGAAATTTTTTTTTTTTTTTAAAAAGAAAAGAAAAGAAAAGAGCTCAATTTAAAATAACATTAAACCAGAATCATACATAGCTATCCAGAACAAGAGAAGATTTCCAATCACAATGCTTTACCTGGAAAACCTTCTTCCTTTCACCAGCTGCTCAATTTTCGAAAAGTCGGGACCATCAAGTAAGTTGTTTATTTTGTCTGGTCCAAGTTGATCAAAGTCAGAACTGCCTTTCAATTTGTCTGCTCCTTTCCTGGGATTTATTCCTCCAGTAGATTCGAATACTTCATACTGCAGATTTAATTCTTGACAGTTTTCAAATAACTTCCTTATAATCAACTGAAAGTTTAAACTCAAAAAAATATCAAAAAACTAATTAAAAACAACTTTATTCCAATCAAAATCAAATAGATTTCTATCTCAGATATGCCAAAGTAGAAGATGAAGCAAGTTGTGTTTGTATTCCAACACACAACAATGACGATGACGATGATGAGTAACCTAATAAAGCATACATATAAGACCCTATAATATTAGCTGACCTGTAACACTATTCATGGATCACCCGTACAACCCATGTAACAATTTAAAAAATTACCCAATTACCCCAAATTACTAAAATCTAAAAAAAAAGCAATTAAATCTGTCCAGCAGCATTCCAACCTATAATATATAATATTAAATTATTCATAAACAAGTTTATAAAACATCCAAAGCATGCTTTATGAAATTCCAGATTTTACCTTCATTTTTCCAATGGCAGCATCACCATCAATTGTACAAACTTTGAAAAAGATAATAACAATAAAAGGAGGATTTACAAATTATATATTCTTGAAGCTCGAAATTCAATTCTAAAGCAGGAACTACAAAGAACCGAGAAAAATTGAGGAAGGAAAAGCTCCGAAGTGGGAAAAAGAAGAGGAATCGCAAAATACACTTTGTCCTGCGCAGCTTTCCCAACTTTCAACAAATGATAACATTATAGGGGAAAGCATAGCTCCTTTTTTCTTTATTTAATTTTTCTTTCTCCAATATACAATAAATATACAGATAATAAATGCATTAACTACGACATGTAGTTGACATCTTTCACAATGACATGGAGCACAGTTTTAACATCAAATATGTAGTATTTCCCATGGAAAACAGATATTTGCATTATAGAAAAAGCCTAACATAATAAGAGTCTTATTCACTTAGTAGACAGCATTGTAGTCCTTGAAAGACATGGGACGGCACAACTACGATGAGAAATTACATAAACTCACATTTGAAGTGCATCCTTGATCATCATCGTAGGCTGTTTCTTTTACCTCTATGTCCTCATTATCTGTTCCACAACAAACTTACTAAGTACAAGAAGACAAAGTACATAACTAAATCAAAACATAAACCTAATAAATTCACAAGGGGGAAAAAGATATATTTATGAAAGAGAACATCATGACTCCAATAAAAAATTGAATTAAAAATATATACTGGCCGAAACACAAATTTAAAAGGAAAAATTACATTGGTAGTCCCCATACTTTGGTCCCTGTAATTTCAATTGACTTAATTGTGACCTTAAATTTATGATTTTGTCTCAAGTTAATCCAATAGATTACAATTGTTAGTGTTTTTTTATGAAAATTGTGCACATAAGCAACATGTGTCATACTTTTATAGGCAAAATTATAAACTTGTTCAACTTAACGATAACCTTTTTCGTTCAAAAACCTTAATCAAGATTAACAATTATACCAAATTGACACAAAATCTAAAATTAAAGGTCAAAATCGAGCTAATTGAAATGATAGGGACAAAAATGACACAAGAGGCAAAATGCAGGGACTACCAATGCAATTTATCCAATTAAAATAGTCTAGTTTTTTTCTCTATTTAACCCCCCCAAAAAAAATATCAGAGCAATGTATGCATGTAGGAAAAATGAAAGTTCGAGGCCACTAAGCCTCGTTTGGCAAGTGGCTTTTTAGTCAAAAAGCCAAAAGGTCACTAAAAAAGCCAAAAAGCCAACAACCCATACCAAAAAGTCAAAGATTCTCTTTTCTCTCTACTTTTTGCACATCTTTTCGTAAAAAGTCAAAAAATCATCCCAAACATACTAGTTTTTTTTAGCTCATATTTTAACCAAATAGCCAAAAAGTTACTAAATTAGTCTGTTCCCAAACGAGGCCTTATCCTTCTCATTGAAGACAAATAACGGTATAATAATCAAAATAGCTGATGTAAACAAGTCTTAGAAATAACAGTCGCACCTAAGAAGAGAACAAAATGAATAGTAAAAAACATAACGAATTTCAAAGTTTTAAGATGGAGATGGAGATGGAGGAGGACCTTCAGAAGGCCACAAATAAGAGTCGATTACCACGGTTCTAATATGTGTGACAAGTGACAATGAGGCAATGGACTGATCAGATTCACCAACCAAGAAAGACTTCAAACACATCTTCATTGCATTGATGCCGGATAATGAAAAGTACAAGCAAAACTATAACCACAAGTTCACCTCAAGTCACCAAAGAATGGCAATGACTGCATTACTGCCATCTCTTCAAACATTCACAATTGTTTTGACTAACACCTAAAGGCTTTGGCACAATCCAAACCCCAGAACATGGCAACAAGAAATAACTAATCTTCTTCCTTATTTTAACAAGAGTTGAACCTACATGAAATTCCAAGAGAAGTGTTGGAGAAGATTTTTGTAATTCGTAAGTTATATTAACTAGTTTATCACCTGTAACTGCTATTGTACTTTATCCAAATCTATTTAAAATCACTGTCTGAGAAAATAACTATAGCTCTTGTGAAAAGATTTCAGAAAACTATACTCTTTCCATTGAATATAATGGTATCCTAATATAATCAATACATACATCCAGCTAGCTTCCTTAGTCATGTGCCTGAACTGAAACCATGACAGCATAAAATCTTTACACCTTCCAATTTCTTCATGAATTGCTACAATTCAAAACCTCTTTGTCATAAGGTTATTATTCAAATTTACAAGAACCTCTTCCCTCCTGATATAATTGGGAAAGTAACCCATGTTTTGGTGATTCCCCATTATCCTATGCACATTAGAAGTTGTCTGTCACATCCAAAGGTGGAGGAACATGAGGGCAAGTGGGGGCAACTGCTTGAAAAAATTTCATTTTTATATGTATAAACCTATAACTTTAAAATTGTTTTGCAAAATTGTCCCAATTGAGATTATGAAACTGTCCCCACTGAAATTATGAAAATGAATATCCTTTCTAAGTATTAGGAACAACCCTTTACATATATGTTGCTAACTCAACTTGCTTTCTTTTGATCACTGGAAGTATAATTTTACCCCCACAGAACAAAAATCCTGGCTCCAGCCCTAGTCACATCCTTAATGACCAAATTTGGAAAGTATCCATCACCAGCTTCAAGAGTATAATACTTTCCTACAAGAATCTAGGCTTCTCATAATATAAGTAATCTCCAAAACTATTTTGATAATTTTTTTCCTCGTGAATTCAATACCCAGCATTCAACTAAAGTCAGATTATGCATTGCACCAGTTGGCACTTTCACAAAAGGTATGCTTCCACATTCCATAAATTCTAAGAAGTATGCAACACAGCAAACTGAAATTTAAGGCCGTAAAATAACCAAATCAAACAAGCTACTCCTAGGCTTTCGGTTCATGAACACAAGGTTATCTCAATTTTGGCTTAGGATTAATAGAAATTTTGGCTGGCCAACACTCACTTAGTCTTGTTCAAATTTCTTCAAGCATAGGGCTTTGCTCAACTAATCACATGCACTAACTACGCTATGTTGCGTCAGCAAATCTTGAAACCCAAAATCCACAAAATAAAGGTTCTTTCTAGTGTAGAAAGCAAGCTCATAAAGCTCATCACTTGTTCAAAAAGAACCAAAAAAGTAATACATATAGTTGTATGATTACACTATAAGGTAGGGAAGTATATGTGTTTAGCAATTAAATTTGCATCTCTTGATACAAATCAACCCTAATAAACCCAAACTCAAAACAGCACCAATCCCATAATTATTTAGCAAAAACATACACAAAACAATGAAAAATGTCCCAACTTTTATATAGAAAACATGCACAAAACTATCACACTCTGAAATATCTGAAATTTCAAAACCCTGAGCTTTAAAAATGCATATACATAATGTACACAGACATGTATATATATATATATGGCTGACCGTGATTTTGGGAGATTGAGGGGGTGGCGAGAGGTGATTTGGAGAAGAAGGAAGGAAAGATTCTGGTGGCGCCGTCGGAGATGAGGCGGTAGGCGGGATCGACGAGCTTGGACAACCAGCCGCCGTCGGGGCGCTGGGCGGCGACTTGGGATTGATTGGGCAGCGGACGGTCGTAGGGAGTCGCCGGAGGCCTCCGAATCGGTGGTTTCCTGAACTTTCCGCCGCCGCCTCTCTGTCCTCCTCTTCCGTATAGCCCCGACGACGACGGCAGCGGCGTCGCTTGTTCCTTTTCCATTCTCTCTCTCTCTCTACAAACTCTCTCTCCCTTCCTCAGTGTAAAGCGCTTTTAGTTCCGGTTTTTTTTTCTTTTTTTTCTTTTAAGCTCCACATTATTTATTAAATATCTTACATTTTTTTTATTTTAATGACGAACTCTCTCACTTTCTTTGTTTTTTTAAGATTCTTTTTTTTGTATTAATAAAACTTTCAAAATTAAAATTTACCTCATACATCATGTTTATTATATTTATTTAAAAAATAAATAAATAATTTATCATATTTATCATTTTTTTTAATGTAACTGTGATATCAATGTGTTTTTTCTTTTAATTTCATGAATAATGACTTAAAATATAAAAGTATTGAATATGAGATCCATAATGATAATGTCCTTGTAGAGCCAAATAACCCATATGAGATTAGGTGTCATTTTGGGAACATAATAAAAAGTCACGTTTTTTTATAAAATATCTAAAAATGTGGTTGTCAAAAACGCAACAAAATTTCTTTGGGAAGTGCTAAAAACGAGACCCTAAAATTACAAATTAAGGCCTATGAAAAATAAATAAATAAATCTCTTATGTTGGGTAAAGATATTTTGGTCATTTTCATTTTATTTGACACCATAAATAAATATTAAATTAAAAAGCAAAAAGTCAGTTTTTTATCAACTTCTCAAATCACTTTCAAAAAAGTCAAAAAGCTTGATAAAAAACTAAAAACTAATTTTTTACCAACTTCCTAAAACAACCCTAAAACGGATTAGACCCGATAGTGGAACACTTGCATTTAAAGCACACATCGGTCATATTTGATTATTGTAGGTAGGAATAAAATTATAAATACAGTAAAATTATGATGGAATTATTAGTACGATAGTATTAAATTAAAAAGTATAAAATAAAATGTGTTTATTTGTGTGTATTGTGATGGTATTAATTAGTTATTAAATTTATAAAATTATGTAAAAATTAACAATTCCTTGATATTTTAGTACAACCAAACATGATTTCAATATTACCTCAAGATTGTTGATCTAATCTCATCTCTTATGGGGTTTGGCAATTTGAAAAGTTAGCTAAAGCCTAACTTTTAACTTTTAATCTATTTTGAACTATATCACCTCTTATATTTTTTACACACAAAAAGATAAAAAAATCAAAAAATCAACTTTTAACCAATTTTCCAAATCACCCACAAACATACCTGCTAGCCTTGTTCAAAGCTCATATAATCATTTCCTTGGATGCAATTTTAACCTCATTTTGTGATTGATGATCACAACTGTTGAATTATATAACATAAAGAACAGAGCTGAAGTGAATAAAATTTGTATATCAACCCTCAAGGAATGTATCCTAATCCTAGTAGGGTACGCGTCTGAAACATCTTGTATTGTACAAGCCACTACTACATCATTGGGTTGGGGGAGCTAGAATAATGGCATTGTGGTGGCTTCAACAGTGAAATTTCACTTTGAATACTACTCTCAACCTCTTTGTTTTTGAAAAATAAAGATTTCGAAGGGTAAACAAGTAATTGCATGTATGAAAAAGCAAAGATGGTTGGCAAAAAAACTTAAATCGCACACTAACATCCATTAAAATGGTAAAAAAAAAAAAAAAAATTATGTATTGTCTAGTTTTTCAGTTTTTTTTTTTTTTTTTTTTTTTTAATAACTCAATATTCAGTCTATAAATTCGTTTATTCCAGAGGATTAAATTCACCTATTATCCAATTTACTTAACCAGATAGATTCACAAGATCCATTTATTTCATTCATAAATCTTAGAACATAATCACTTTTACCCATGACAACCAAACTAATGTCAAACCCTCTTCTCCCACCTATGTTGTAACTGGTAGCCCCATGCCATCACAGCTAAACCTCTCTTTCTATGTTGCAACCCCTTTCACCTCAACTACGACCAACATCACTCTCTTCTTATCACACCCTTCTACCTACCAACCGCCACTCCCCGTTCTATTATAAGTTTGATTTGCTATTTCTTTCTCTCATTTTGATCTACTATAGCATAGTAGAGTGGGGAGATCTAAAGGAGACAATGATGTTGACAATTTGGTGGAGGCATTCGGTAGACGTCATTATAATAGCCTTCATCAACATTTTAAGCTTGTTCATAACTCAATATGAGTCATTAATTAGTCAAAATTATGATGTGGCAATATCTCCTTGTATAGATTGGATTTCCAACTTTTTTTTCTTTAACAATACAGAAGCTGAATAGGTAAATCCCCAAGTAGGTTCTCTCTCTAGTCCACTAGTGGGGGGCATGACGTTTTTTTTTGGGTGAATGGGGCATGACGTTTACCATGAGTCTCACTATGACTACATAAAACATTAATAATTTTGTCAGGTTAATATATTGATCATTTATATTAAAAAAAATTAAAAAATTGATTCTATAATCATATCCAAATATAATGAGATATATAATACTATGATTATAAAATTAATTTAATTTTCTTCCTAGATGATCTCCCTCTAGAATTTGACAAATGAAAAGTGAGACCCGAGCCCCAACTGGGCTCCTCCAGGCGCACAATTTCTAAAAATACATTTATTTTCTAATTAAACAAGCTGAAAGAAAAAGAGAAGTGTAGTGAACAAAATTTTATCATTTACATTCTTTCTTACAGGTCAAAAAAAAAAAAAGGGGGTCAGAAAGTTATTAGATATTATACAAGAGATGGAAGGAAGTGAGGGAGAGCTTAAGAAGCAGCAGCTATAGGAGGGGGTGAAGGATGAGCTCCTTGAAAGAAACTTGGTGTTGATAAGTTAATACTGCTAGTGTCTTCTCTTACAACATCATCATCTTCTTCCTCTTCATTTTCCTCAGAGTCCCAAAGAAACCGAGCATAGGAAGCCATAACATAACTGCAACATCAAAATCAAAAATCAACTTAGTACATAAATAGATTCAATGGAAATTGGAAACCAACTATTCTTAAAGGGCAATTCCGGGTTGATAGAGTGAGAGGTACACTATCTGCACGAGATATTTCATAATTTGAATCATGTGATGTAAGGTGATAATAGTACGGCCTTACCACCCTTGAATGTAAGTTTTTTAGTGAAATGTCAAGGATTCAAACACTTTTACTAGGACAAATCTTCTCTCCCATCCATTAATTGGACTAAAGGATCTAGTTGAGGGATTTTGGGTCTATCCCAAGCCCACATTGGAGATACTTGCCAATCATATTGATCGGACATCATAAACTATATGATCGGAAAAAAATTAATCCACAGGCTACTAATATCTACTCCCACCTGATTTTTCACATGAAAGATCCATTTAACAGGCTCTCCATCAAATATATGATACAGGTCACCGAAAAAGACCCGAAATGGATCCACAATCACCTCAACTGGACCCTCCACTAGTGGTGAGTGTGTTAATAGAAGTGTCGGGTGTTTTTTAACAAATCTTTTTTTCCAAGTTGTAACCACTTCATTGAAACAATAATGTATGATAATTAATTTTTTTTTTATCATATTTTGTTTATTATGTGCTATGCAACCATTGGATTGATACAAACACGAGTCAGTGACCTATTTAACTAATCTATTGGTTTTTCAAAAATGTCGTATGACATAATTAAAGATTAAAATAAATCTAACTGTTTAGTTTTGCTCCCCAAATAACAAAGTGTCTTCATGGATAATTTCAATAGTGTAACAATAACTCATGAAATCATAAACAAAATATACTATATAAATGATCCGAACACAGTTGCAATTCTTACCAGTCATCAGGGGCGGCTTTAACAGCTTGATCAAAGTAAGTCTCAGCACGAGGGGCATCCTTATGGGTCTGCCATATCAGATCAGCATAGAGTGATAGAACATTCCCATCACTTGGGTCTGCCAATATTGCTCTCCCACAGTACTCTTCGGCCTTCACAGAGTCACCTCGTACCTTTTTTTTTTTTTTTTTTTTTCATTTCAAAACAACCCAAAATCAGAACAGAAACGGATGATCCCAAGTATATCATAAGCCAACCTCACGTCATGCCTATTCTACAATATCATAAATCTTTTTCTTTCTTTTTCCGAAACAAATAGAACACAATAAAGTATAAAAACTAAAAAATAAAAAAATAATCCAAATAATTGAAAACACAACCAAACAGGTATTATTTTTGTTTATGGCCACCAAAAATAAAAACATAAAATATATATGTAGGTTCTTTGTATTTAGGGATGGATGTCTCAATTTAGATTTAAGAGGAACTTAATTTCAAGATTGAATGAAATGGCTTTATCACAATGGATTGGAAATAACTATATACAGTTAGTTATTTGAAAAAAGGCTAAACATTCTCTTTCCTATTTCGACTTATCTTCATATATATATATATATATACCCTCTTCAATATTGTTATAAAATTCATCATTAAATCTCATTATTTGAAATCCTCATCAATCCAAACCAGCTCTTAGTTCAATTAAAATTTCTTACTTCCTTCAAAATTTTCCTTTCTAGTTGAATGAAAATGTTGTTTCTTTTATTCTTGAGTTCTTCAAAAACCAATATTTCGAAAAGTTAACAATCTTTTTTTTTCTGCTTCCCAAAACCATGATTCATTCCAAACAAAGAGTAAAATTGAACTGTAGTGTATATATACCTCTTTCAAGAATTTAGCATAATTGCTAAGAAGCAGAGCATCTCCAGGGTATGCATCAATCATCTTGTGATAATACTCCTCCGTGCTGTTATTCCCATGATTTGAATCCCAATACCCAGAACTCCCATCCCCATCACCACCGCCCGATCCTCCTCCTCCTCCTCCTCCTCCTCCTCCTCTACCGCCACCACCACCGGTCAAACTCCCACCTCCAACGTATCCACCACCACCACCCACAACAACACCCCCCAATTTCCAATCCCTTACCCCAACAACATCACACTCCTCATCAACCACAATCTCATCCAATCCAGAGCCCAAAAACAACACTCGATCCAACGAATCCGATCTCGAATCAAAACCCTCCTCTCTCTCCTCCTCCTCTTCCTCCACCGCAATCGCCGGCAATAATGGCCTTCGTTTGGAGACCGAAAGCTCTCTGAGATCGGTCTCCGACATCGCTCTGGTCATCTTCTTTCTCGATTTGTCGATCGGAGAAACTGAGACCATCGAGACCGATCGAGGCTTCGGGATTTGAAGAGAAATGTCCGTCTCTGGCGATGTTGATGACTCTTTCGAATGTGGAAGCCATGAATTCAGAACTGGAGTTGATGCACTTCGAAGAAGCATTGTGAGTAAAAAAACCCTAGTTTTGGTTTTGAGATTTGTGTATCGAAATGTATAGAAGGAGGGACAGAGAGAGAGAGAGAGAGTTTCGCGCTCTGTTGTTATAGATTCGGAGAAGATGATCTGTTTGAGCTTTTATAGGAGGGAAGCGAAGATTGAGATTAAATCACTGCCGTTGATTATTATTATACAGTGTAAAAATGGAGTATTACAAATATAATGTAATTAGAGATCTGTTTGGCTACTACTATTTTATGTTTTGACTATTTAAATTTAAATAAGAATATACCTATAATAATGGTTTGCCTATTTGATTAGGGTGAAACACTAGCAAATTTTAAATAGTAATCTTATATATTATTTGGTTCTTTTTTTCCTATTAACTCAAAGATCATGTTCTAATGTGAATTATATAAAAAGTTATGCATCAATGTCGATATATTATGTGTTGAGATATAAATGTAAATTTTTTTATAATGTTAAAATTACTTAATGTAACGCATCAAAAAAAAAAAAAACTCCCTAGTTTGCTTTTAACAAACGTAACATTCTAATGTAATATTTTAAAAACATAACACTCCAATGTAATACACTAAACAAATTTTTAGTGTACTATTCTTAAACGTAACAACATAACATTTCAAAAAAACTTTTTAATATACATTTTTCAAACGAAACACTCTAATCAATATAATCCACAAAAACTTTTTAATATACTTTTTTCTAACATGTAACACTCTAATGTAGCACATTAAAAAACTCTTTAATATACTTTTATCAAACGTAACAACGTAACATTCCAAAAAAACTCATTAGTTTATTTTTTTCAAATTTAACACTTCAATCAATGTAACACACAAAAACTCATTAGTGTACTTTTTCTAAACATAGCACCTAGGGGTAAAAGAATAACCGGAAGGACCGACCAAACCGATCGAACCGAACGGTTTTCGGTCGGTGTTTTAAGTTTTCAATCGTTCAGTTCGGTTCGGTTTGGTTTATATTTTTTCTGTACGTTCGGTTCGGTTTACGATTTTTAGTTTTCTAGACCGAATCGAACCGAACCGAACCGAACCATTTTATATAATATTAATAGGCCCAAAATATGAAGCCCCAAACCTGTGTAGGAATTACATGACCTCAACCCAAAATTTATGCAAAATGGATAGAATATATAGGCCCAAAATGTGAGGCCCAACTAGAGAAAAAAAAAAGGGCCAAAAAATCGAAAAACCGAAAAAACCGTACCGCACCGTAATAAATCGAACCACGCCGCTTTATGTCATTTTCTGGGCAGTTCGGTTCACAAATATAAAAAACCAAAATGATCGGTTCGGTGCAAAACTAGTGAAAAAATCGACCGAACCGAACCGATTTCACCCCTAATAGCACTTTAATTTGACACTTCAATGTAATATCAAGAAATCAAACAAACAGGAATGTAATTTTTTATTCGACAATCAATACTTCAACTACCAATCCCCCCAAAAATAATATTCCACACCATGTCTCACCTTTCTATTCTCATCCCAAAAATAAATAAAAAAATTTAAAAAAAAAATGAATCACAAAATGACATTCACTTAAACTCAAATAGCACCAAATCAAATAAATACAAATTTTCAAAACAAAATGACTAATTAATTTATAAAAAAATTCTTAAAATTAAATATATCAATATTCTCCCGTATAAGATTTATAGATAAATTCTCCATTTGGTTAACATTTGTGAAAAAATAATTTTTACAAGATTCACCTATCTTTGCCAATACTAAAAAGTCAATTATTATTCTTAAATTATTTTGTCTTTAATCAAAAATTTAAAATCATTTTTCACACACTATACTGACTTTTCTATACTACGTAAATTTGGCTCATTTAAAAATTGGCTATTTTAGTTAATTTTTTATGTGTAAAAAAATAAAAATAAAAATAAAAATGATATAACAATTTATAATAATTTTTTAACTATTTTATTCTATTGATTAATCCCCACCCAGCAGTCATATTATTTTAATGGATGTTTTAATAGTATTGATTAATAAAATTTAAGATTAATTTTCATTCTTTATAGTATGAATATATATAGATATATTAGTAAGGATGCTAGTAAATCTGTAAAATATAAATTTTAATTGTAAATTAAAAATATGTAGTGTGTATTACTCTATTGGTAAAACTATTATTTACTACAGCATTGGTCTTTTGTTTAAGTTTTATTTATTTCACTTTTTTTTTTTTTTTTTTTTTGTCCCTTTTTGGTCACTTGTCAAAAGTTGTTTACCTCACTAATTTATTTATTTTTGGGACATTTATATACAAGTCTCATTTTGTGAACTTATACTCCATTAAATTCTAGATAAAATTATTTGCTCCTTCAAGTCCCATTAATTTTTAATAGACCAATTTACCCATCCAAACCCCCTTCCCTCTCCACCGAATCCATCGGCCATTTCTCCAAAGAAAGTTCAATTTAGAAGCAACACATCCAAACCTCACTTCAATCAATCTTATCTCTCTCTCTCTCTCTTCCTGAGTTCGTCGCCACCATCCCCAACGACGTTGTCATCTTCCAAAACGCCATCGCTCGAATCGTCGTGATCAGGTCGTCGAATGATTCAGATCTAGCAGAAATCGTTGTCGGCTTTTTGAGGACGATGACGACGGTGCAATAAGGCTAGGGTTTTGAAAATCTCCAATTTTGGCCTCTCCAACATACCAGAAAACCAACTCCGTCGAGAGATACTCCACACAGTTTTCGGAACTTCAGCGTACACCTCGCAAACATCCTTCTCCCTGACCCAGTTTGTATTACCATTGCTTCAATTCTTATCTCGAACTAAATCGCCATTTATGATCAATTTATACCCTTACTATGTTTTTATGCAGAACAAAGAGGTTGTTCCCCTTGATAATTCGACTTTTAAACCATTAACTCCATCCAAAGAAATGGTCGACCCAAATACTCTACTTCACTACACCAACGTTTTGGATGCTATGATTGATTCTGTTTACTTTTCTATGAATGTGATGAAGAGGAGGAGGATGAAGAGAGAGAAGACGAATGGATATTTGCGCTCCTTGATGAGGTTTTTGGACTGAGATAGCCATTGTTAATCTATAGAAGCTCCAGATTTTGTTTTTCAATCAGAGAGAGAAAGTGAATAGCTGAGACGAGAGAACCAATTAGGAGATTGAGACAGATTGCAGAAAGAGAGAAAGTTTTTTTAAAATTGAGAACCTTCTCAGTTTATAATATCCTCATTTTTAATCATGAAAAAATTGAGAAATTTCTCAAAATTGATAATTATAAATTTCTTAGAATATTCGCAGAATTATCTTTCTTTTCAATCCCATACTTTTCTCAGAAGCCAAACAGAAATTTTTTAATTTTGATAATTATATACTGAAATCATTCTCTGTTTGAAAATTGAGAATATTCTCAGTTTTAAAATTAAGAACATTCTCAGTTTTGGGATTAAAGGGCAAAACGTTTTTTTACCTATAAATGAGACTTATTAGTTCAAAAACTTTTTGGCAAGACCTAAGCTACCACCAAATATGTAGACAGGACTTTTTGGTAATTAACTCTTTATTTTTTAACACGGCAATCCACTTGACAAAAACAGTGAAGAAGTTTCAAAATACAAAATGAGTTATTCACTTATTATTTTTAGTTTGTTAGAATATCTCAAATGGTATATCTTTTTTTTCATCAAATTTAAATAAAAAATTTGAGTAAAAACTCTATCTAATATCAAGTGCTCTAACAGGAGATTTTGAGCTTTTATCAAAATACCGATCGACCGGGCGGATGACTGGACAGATGTCTAACAGGTCGACTAGCCAATGTATTTTTGTCACAAATTTTTGCTTAGAGGTGATCATCCGAAGGGACATCCGGTGATTAAAATCCAACAGCTATAAACTATGATTTGATGAAAGCTCTCAGCCGTCCTCAATTTAGTAAAAGATTTTTGATATTATCGATTTGATACAAATCTAATGAAATCATTATAATAAGAAAAATATTATTTTTTCATTAAATTTAAATTTGATAGAAAAATTGATCAACATTTGAAGATGGTCTTCACAACCATCCTAAAGTCTTCACAACCATTCATTATTTAAAAAAATTTAAACTAAGAAATATATCATAAATAAATAATTGTTTTGATCACCTACGAGCACATTTACCCAAGTCTTCAAAAATTGGTGTTAAATTTTTTTGAAGCTTATGTGGCAATGTATTTGACATCTTTAAGGGTCCGTTTGGCAAGCAAGGTTGGGGCTAAAATAGCCACAAAAGACAAAATAGGTTATTTTAGCCACAACAAACAAAACATCATATCCAACCCATAATCATTACACTCTTCTCTCACAAAAAAATTCAAAAAAGCCAAAAAGCCAAAAAGTTCTTCCCAAACCAAGTTTTTTAGTCCAGGCTAAAATAGCCAAAAAAGTCAAAAAGCTAAAAAGCCAACCCACTTCCCAAACGGAGGCTAAATAAAATACACCATCGGTCATGTTAAATTTAAAGAATGTTTACATAATCTATATAAGTGCACTTATTTAAATAAGTATATTTATTTAAGTCATATTATATTTTTATTTTTTTTGTATATCTTTTCATAAAATTTTTTAAAATATACTTATTCAGATCAGTCTAATAATACCTTTTATTATTTTATTATATTTATTATAGAATATTTTCAAATTCAAAAGTCAAATTTTCGTAGGAACTCACTTTGTAATAGGTCTCACAAGATAAAGAAATTTAAAAAAATAGATAAATTATATAGACTTCCTTTGAGATTTTGAAAAAAAATACATTAAATTTTATAATTTTAATATAATTACATTGAGCTCTCTTAAAATTTTAATCTACCTAACAACTTAACCCCATTTTTATCAATATTTTGTCAGTCCTATAAATGGAAAAATAATGTTATCATATCTTTTATATTTATATGTATATTTTTTCTTATCATTATGTTTTTACATTATTTGTATTAATTTTGACTCCATTAATATTAATAAAATGAAAATCAGCATAATTATATTAAAATTATAAAACTATTTACATTTTTCTCAAATCTTAAGAGAGATGATGATA